GGAAATTTATTTAACAACATTATTTTAAAACAAGTTTCGTGTATAGACTGGAAAAATAAATATATGTATTGATATAACACAAACATGACGCAATTAAGATATAAAAAACGAACTGCTTATTTAAATTTTCATTCATATCAAAATACATTTAATTTGTCCTTGAGAATGTAGCATAATATACCAATAATACTTAAGCAAGTCTACAATATAGCTACAATATTACTTATTTTAACGAACTGAAATAACTACTATGTAAAATAATATTCACGAATTAAACACGTTATTATTTTTAAAAAAACTGTTCAAATTTTTATCCGTTTTAGACCTTTAAATCAAAAATCATTTGGCATATATAAAAATCATTCTTCCTTCCCCCCTGGAACGCCTACAATATTTTGCAAAAAAATATATTTTTTTTTTTTGTATATTGCCAATCATACATTTAAATCTCTTCTCCAACAACAACACGATCTAACTTTAAATTGACATTTGACCTGTTTAACATTAATTCGGGTTAGTTCGTGACGCCTCCACCAAACTTCTCATCCCTAATTCTGAATTTCTGTGTTTTCAGGCAGTTTTCAAACGTAAAATACTTTATCGCAGCTGTAATTACGATTTCATTAGAGAACGCACATTCGAGAGAATTATCACTTTGCACTATTTTGTAATGACAACAAATTCCTTGCATTTGTCACGAGAAGGTCCAGACTTTAAAATTCTGCGTGGCGTAACTAAGGAAGCCAGAACATGAATTTAGAAGATTTCAGCTGTTTTTTAATTATAATTTAAGTCAACATTTGTGTCTGCAACGTTTAGGATTTGAGTTCTTTCTTCAAGACTTCATGAACAATTATGAAGCGGGGAATCCCGATTTCCAGAACAACTCTATGACAAGACCACCAACCTCTGGGGATAAATCCGCGCTACCGAAACTGGTGATGCGACCATTGAATTCCGAGTAACTCGGAGGCTGGAGCAATTGGGACTTCGCTTCCCTGGACATTTGTAGCAACTCATCGTGATTTTGTACTTCAAGATGAAGGGATTGTTGGTGCCGGATTGGGAGTAGTGGTGTCGATGGAGGTTTGTACGTCGAGCGCTGGCACTCGGCAGCCTGCAGGCGCTGTTGGCGTCTTGCCTGTCTCCGGGCAAGGGACAGGCCCCCCGCCGCGGCGTACATTCTTACCGACTCCTCTTATAGCCTCGGATGCTGCCGACGTTTGTTGGTTACTGTGCTGAAAACAAAGGAGTCAGAAACGTCTGTGCCAGTCACTGCTCACGTGCATTCCGGGATGCGAAAATTTCGTGCGAATTTTTGTCAAAGAAGCAGACGGAAAAGAACACAGCAATGCATGCGACTACAGTGGAAATTACTAATATTCATTGACGGATACGTTCAAGCGATAAACTAAGATTCAGAGTTCTCAAAACATTACTTTGTTATTTATGACATCACGAGTTGACAGGTGTAATCGAGATTTATTTCCATTCGAAACAAACGCACAACAAACGTAAATTACAGTTCTGACAAACAATTCCTTGGTCTTTCCTCTCAGAAAGAATATCAACCTCACTTTCAAAGTCATAAATTTAACATGAAGTCTAGTGTTAGTACTCATTCTACGAAACAAAATAAATTTTTAGCCCCAGCTACGTAAAACCAGATATTAATGGATTTTGTGTTTCATAATTTGTAGCTCTCCCTACACATAATAAGGCCGACAAAATCAAGGAGGATGACGTGGACGAAGCCTGTGAGAGGCTAAAAATACATAAATAAATACTTTAGGGATACCTGAAAGGAAGAGACAACTTGGAAGACGTAGGAACAGATGGAATGACAATATTAAAATGAATATCAAATAAAATGTGTGTGGCGGTTGGAATGGATTCATCTGGCTCAGGATAAGGAACACGATAATGAACCTTAGGGTTCTATAACAGGTGAGGGAAGATTTCTGTACAGTTATACTTGAAGCTGACAGTCGTTCGCATTTCCCGTCTGCGAGTTAAAAGTAGAAGGAATTCTGGAAGAATAAATCAGCACCGTAGGTGATAGTGACGCGTTCAATTGCATGGTTAAATTATTCAATACGCTGTTAAAAAATTCCCCTTATTTAAGGGTTACGTAAAATATGTATCTTTAAAAGGAGCATGTGTATAAAAATGGTAATCTACTTCAGTTGCACGATATTATTCGTCAATGCGAGACACGCAAGGCAGTACAATTACTGTAATACACAGACTTCACGACATGAGATACAAATTAAAAAGAATCCACAGAGGCCATAAGCCATATTTTAACCACTTCTATACGCGATTCGCGTTTATTTCAAATGCATTTCCATGAATGCAGAGTCTTCGATTTTCCCGGATACGCTGATAGTTGTGTTCCTTAACCTCAGCATATTACAGAAAATGTCTGCACAGAATTCTCATAACCAACTACACCCCTCCGCCCTCATCTTGAAATTTTCACCAGACCATAAACCCACATCTGCAACACCCTGTATATTTTTGCTATATTGGACTACAAATTCTCTCATACTAAATTTACTAAGTTTTACAATATCAGACCACAAAAATAGGATTGTAGATCAGTGTTCGTATTAGGTACATTCTATGAATGGATGAACCACAAAATTATTACTTCACGAAATATCAACGAGGGGTAAACAACACAAGGTTCAAATTTTGTTTATAACCGCCATTATTTTTCAGTAGAACCAATAATGTTACTTCCGAGATAGAATAATTTTTTTTTTTTTTTTTTTTTTTTTTTTTTTTGTAAAGGTCTGTAGTAAGAAATATGGACATCGATAATAAGAGTATAATTAAATTAACTATGACATAACGCCGTGAGATGTGGAAAGAACTGGAATAGTTTGTATGGAGTAACGTTGGTTTGATGAGACTTCAAAAAGTTTCTACTAATTATAACCGAACGCAGTTATTTTTCTTGTAAACGATTCAAAGTCCCAGGTCCAAGAAAAATAAAAAGTTTCTTGAGGTTAGAAACACGACTTAAAAACCAACTAATGTCCAGTCATTGAAAAAATTTCAGGAGTCTAGAGTCCATGTATCGATCCACCTTTCGTGCACAAAATATTTCACTGCTATTCGCTTTAAGTTACACGAATAAATAATCAAGAACAGTGATTGGCTGTATGAATCAAAGCGTTGATAAATCTGGGTGCTTCACCTATGACACGGCAAGTCATCACGACCACCAACAGAAACAGCATCGTAATGAACATCATTATATCACCGCCACACCATGGTCATTAAACAATTTAAAGTTCTGGAACCAACGAACTTGAATTTTATCTGAGTCCTTTCAACTGTCATGAAGAAGACATCATTCAAGAGAGTCGAAAGCTATTAATTCACATCTTTAATTCGTCATACGGGAAATTTTAAAGTCTGTTATAAGGAAAATTTTCCGAAATATATTGTGGCGTATTTCGAGGCAAGCCGGACAATTGTCAAATACAATTACACCATGGACGATACAGAAAAGCTTCTTTCTCCCAAAAATGTCATTTACGACTACAGATCTATCATGATTCCCGTTATCAGGCTGTCAAAGCCATCTGTTGGCCTCAGTTGTCTAATTATCTCTTCAAAGCTTGTACCCGAGTTCTTATTTAAAGTTAATTTAAACCTCATCATTAAATGATTGTACAGTTATACTTGAAGCTGACAGTCGTTCGCATTTCCCGTCTGCGAGTTAAAAGTAGAAGGAATTCTGGAAGAATAAATCAGCACCGTAGGTGATAGTGACGCGTTCAATTGCATGGTTAAATTATTCAATACGCTGTTAAAAAATTCCCCTTATTTAAGGGTTACGTAAAATATGTATCTTTAAAAGGAGCATGTGTATAAAAATGGTAATCTACTTCAGTTGCACGATATTATTCGTCAATGCGAGACACGCAAGGCAGTACAATTACTGTAATACACAGACTTCACGACATGAGATACAAATTAAAAAGAATCCACAGAGGCCATAAGCCATATTTTAACCACTTCTATACGCGATTCGCGTTTATTTCAAATGCATTTCCATGAATGCAGAGTCTTCGATTTTCCCGGATACGCTGATAGTTGTGTTCCTTAACCTCAGCATATTACAGAAAATGTCTGCACAGAATTCTCATAACCAACTACACCCCTCCGCCCTCATCTTGAAATTTTCACCAGACCATAAACCCACATCTGCAACACCCTGTATATTTTTGCTATATTGGACTACAAATTCTCTCATACTAAATTTACTAAGTTTTACAATATCAGACCACAAAAATAGGATTGTAGATCAGTGTTCGTATTAGGTACATTCTATGAATGGATGAACCACAAAATTATTACTTCACGAAATATCAACGAGGGGTAAACAACACAAGGTTCAAATTTTGTTTATAACCGCCATTATTTTTCAGTAGAACCAATAATGTTACTTCCGAGATAGAATAATTTTTTTTTTTTTTTTTTTTTTTTTTTTTTTTTTTTTTTTTTTTTTTTTTTTTTTTTTTTTTTTTTTTTTTTTTTTTTTTTTTTTTTTTTTTTTTTTTTTTTTTTTTTTTTTTTTTTTTTTTTTTTTTTTTTTTTTTTTTTTTTTTTTTTTTTTTTTTTTTTTTTTTTTTTTTTTTTTTTTTTTTTTTTTTTTTTTTTTTTTTTTTTTTTTTTTTTTTTTTTTTTTTTTGTAAAGGTCTGTAGTAAGAAATATGGACATCGATAATAAGAGTATAATTAAATTAACTATGACATAACGCCGTGAGATGTGGAAAGAACTGGAATAGTTTGTATGGAGTAACGTTGGTTTGATGAGACTTCAAAAAGTTTCTACTAATTATAACCGAACGCAGTTATTTTTCTTGTAAACGATTCAAAGTCCCAGGTCCAAGAAAAATAAAAAGTTTCTTGAGGTTAGAAACACGACTTAAAAACCAACTAATGTCCAGTCATTGAAAAAATTTCAGGAGTCTAGAGTCCATGTATCGATCCACCTTTCGTGCACAAAATATTTCACTGCTATTCGCTTTAAGTTACACGAATAAATAATCAAGAACAGTGATTGGCTGTATGAATCAAAGCGTTGATAAATCTGGGTGCTTCACCTATGACACGGCAAGTCATCACGACCACCAACAGAAACAGCATCGTAATGAACATCATTATATCACCGCCACACCATGGTCATTAAACAATTTAAAGTTCTGGAACCAACGAACTTGAATTTTATCTGAGTCCTTTCAACTGTCATGAAGAAGACATCATTCAAGAGAGTCGAAAGCTATTAATTCACATCTTTAATTCGTCATACGGGAAATTTTAAAGTCTGTTATAAGGAAAATTTTCCGAAATATATTGTGGCGTATTTCGAGGCAAGCCGGACAATTGTCAAATACAATTACACCATGGACGATACAGAAAAGCTTCTTTCTCCCAAAAATGTCATTTACGACTACAGATCTATCATGATTCCCGTTATCAGGCTGTCAAAGCCATCTGTTGGCCTCAGTTGTCTAATTATCTCTTCAAAGCTTGTACCCGAGTTCTTATTTAAAGTTAATTTAAACCTCATCATTAAATGATATGATAAAGTTGAGTCATATTGTGATAAATATATATTTGTTTAAATCTTGTCAGTCTAATCACAATAAAATTCATATTAAATATTAATAATTTAAATGTTAATTATGGTAATATTTAATAGGAATTTTATTGTGATTATACTGACAAGATTTAAACAAATACTCATCATTAAACTTTGAAGCACGGTGGTAACTATACGCACCAATTACTTCAACAATCAATATCTCTTGCAGAGGATATTATTCATGGGTTCAATATAATTCTCGCTGTATAAACTGAGATTATCTCTTTAAACGGCGTTAACCAGTTGAACTTCTTAATGGTGAAGTGGTGTTTTCTTTGCGGTAAGGACTGAATTCTTAAATATTATTCAGGTAGATGATCCTTATAGTAACCACTAGGTTTCATAGAATTAACTTTGAGTAAGTCTTCCATAAAATAACACACATCGGCCATGGCGTCAGCTGTTCCTTTCGCCACCGACTGTGAGTCACTTAAGCAACGCCCTCTCATATAGGCCTACACTAAGAATTACACAGGCCTAAGTAATTGTTATTCCCTTCAAAGAAAATAATTACGCAAATCTGCAACCTCCTGACTCTGATATTTTGTTCCACGAAAGAGGACGGAAAATGTA